ATATTCTTATCTTCCGCTTCTACTTTTTTTCCCCACCTCATTGAGAACAAATAAAGTAATTAGAAGTTTTCTTCAGGCAAAGGGAGGAGCAGAGGCAAAGTATGTAATAAGTTTTGTCTGAACTGTTTTCCTTTCGTAATGCATGCCCTAAAGCTGTGTGCTTAGCTGGGTTCAGTGTAATTGTTCCTATCACCGCAAAGCCTTCGGGACCTGCCCGAAACAGAGCAGGCGGGAAGCACCAGCACTGTCATCGTGCCCCTTCCCGAGCCGTGCCTTGTACAGTAACAGCCTTCTTCCATAGCCAGGTATTTCTTCATCGAGCGAATGAAGCTTGGAGTCTGACTCTAAAGACCCTAAGATTAAACCTTTCTGACAGCCTGCATGGGTGAAAATAGTGTGTGATCATGTAATTAACCACACTATAATAATGCAGATATACAATTAACTTTGCACAAAGGACGTTTACTCCAGCATTCCCTAGTTTTCACACTGACAAACTTTACCTTTCTTTGATAGGGGCTTTAAGAAGTTATCACAAGGAGGGCGATTATAGGATCCTATTTTCACTTGCATGTTTACTTTTGCCAGACTATGACCGTTTTGCCTGAAAATATTGTTGCCCTGCCAGTTTGCTGTAGGCTACAGGAAGTTCTGTGTTTATCCATGCACTGGAATGTTTTAGTGAAAACCTTCAATTATTGAAAACAGCAAGTGAAAATGCGCAATTTTATGTCTCGCATTTATGCCAGGGATGCATTCTTGCTGTCCTGTGAAAATCCACCTGTTTGACCCAGGCACGCTCAGTGCTGCTGATGCAGCTTCACCCTTTTCCAGCGATGTTTTGGGACTGGGAGGTGAGCCGGTGCCAGTGCCGCACTCTGGACATGGGGCACTGGGGCAGAGGAGAGGGGCAAGGGGGACAGAAAGCAGTGCCAGCGGGAGAAAGAAGGGCAGATCAAGAACAAGAGGTGGGAAGAGGAGGAGGGCAAAACAGGGGATGAGGAAGACAAGGGGCTGAGGCAAGGAAGGGTGGCCTGGCGCTGAATTTGGACCTAGGCATTAGGAAAGGGAGGAGGGGATGGCATATGGGCAGAAACAGGCAAGAGAAAGCCAGGACTGGGAGGAGCGGGAATGAAGAGCTTGGAAGCAGAAATCTGAGACTGGCTGGGGCAGAGGCTGGGGAGTGCAATAGCCAGAGAAGGGGCATTCTTGTCATGAAGACCAGTTGCAGGGTGGGAGGCCTGGGTACCAAGGACTGGGATTGCCCATGTGGGCAAAATGAGCCTGATTCTTGCTAGACTGATAAGAGAAAGAGAGATTGAAAGGGATGGAGGTCACAGCCTCAGAAATAGCAGAGAAGGCTGTCCACCAGAAAACATTTTGTCCTAAACTCGGACTTTAAATGTGATTGTTTCTCTGTGGTCAGCAAATATCTGTGAAAATGTCTGATGGCTCTGTAATGCTGGCGTTCAAAGAGGATCACAGCCTATTCATGCTATCACTTACTGCCTTAGTTCAAGTGACTGCAATGTCCCTATTGGTGCCAAAAATAAAGGCCTGTTATTTAACCTGTGGATGTCTGTATAATGCCATGCAATGAATGTCCAATTTGCCTGTGGTTTACAGTTCAGAATATTTTTTAATGGTGTTAAAATATTTATTAGGATTAATATTTGCGGCGCTGTTTATATTTTTAAGCTGCATACAGAAAATGTAAGGAATGATATTTTGAAATGCCTATTTGGGCTTTATTCAGAGGTAGTGTGTGTGTGTGCGCGCGCTATGATTCAGATCTTACAGGCAGGATAATATTCAGTTGTTTTCAGAGGACTGTAGTGTTATTTATTGTTCAGAATACGTCTGATCTGAGGATGAATGCGGCACATGCAGTGAAATACGCTTCCTGGAGAACCAGCAATTTGTTGTAATGTTTGAAAATTGGGATTGTAGAGAGGGCAAGGATTGCAGGAGGGATGGTCTCGTAATTAAGACGATTGAAGGATATCGTGAAAGGTACGATGTGTCTCTGCCTGTACCACTAAGATTCTGGGTGATCATGTCGCTTCAACCTAGCGTTTTTATTTCTGTACTCATATTTTGTGTCTCTGGCTTTCTGAGTGCCTGACTTGGGGTCCTTGAAGAAATACTAAGCACCCACAGCTGCAGATGAAGTTAGCATTTGATCATGTGAAACGCTGTACAATGCTAAACATTCTGGAAAAGCAAGTCCTAAATGCCTCAGATTGTGTTTCTGAAATTAGTAGATACCTTTTGCCATGTGTTTTATGTGCCTTGATTCCCTGTCCCTAAAATGGAGGTAACTTTGCTGCCTTATCTCACGAGAATATTGGGAAAATAACACAGTGGGTATTTGTGAAGCATTCAAGTGCTATATACTGACATGTGCTATTGAAAAGCCATTCTCTCTGTAGAACAAGGTTTGAATAGTGTACAATAAATACATCAGAAAAGTTCAGAGTAAACAGTGACAAGAAAACAAAATACTGAATAGCCAGCCACTAAATGAGCGGTGTGCATCCTCTTCACTGGGTAAGATGGGGAAGAAGAGTATGTGTGTGTATAATGAAGCACTGTATCATAACAAATACATCTGTACAAGCCTAATTCAGTCCCGCCATCCGATCTGAGGATCTTTAATTTTTACTTTTTCTGTCTGAGTCTTTGCTAATTTATATTCTTCTATCTATTTTCTGTTTATGATACACATTAGCAAACAAACACAGCCTTGACTAAGAGGCTGTATAAATATCAAAGATTTTTTTTTTCCTTTTGACCACACTTTTAAGTCCAGGCCAGTATGGCAGGGTTTACAGTTGTTCCCCACCTGTGATATTGGTTAGTTCCTGAATAAGATGAGTTTGTTGGGTCTCGATTCTGTTCGCTCTTCATCACCTTGCTCTGAATCCATTTGGCAGACTTGGCAAAGAGGTCAGTAATGGCAGGAAGAAGACAGCGGTCATACCTCTCCCCTAAAGGAAGCCGCTTCTCCCGCTCCCTGGATGATACTAACGGTGATTGGGAGAAGGTTGGATTAGTTCACTTGTCTCTCCACCTCCCACATACCAGATACCCTGTACCCTGCTAGCAGAGTACTCTACACTTTTTCTGGGACAGAAAATGTGACTGAAAGATTTGCACTTCCCAGCTTTTCCTCATCCTTCGTTTTCCAGTGGTTACAGCCCCCCTCATACAATCCAGGTTGTACATCAGCTCTTTCCTAGCAAATGTTTTTCTCAGCAGACAAACAAGATGGGCGCGTGCCCTAGTTTATATTGTGGTGATGTAGAAATGAGGCCTCATGGACCACAGTTCACATCCACAGCCGTGCTTCACCTTCTTAGGAATATGGGAAGAACTGTAAGTGAAAAATACTGTACCACAGCACTGATTTTAATACGGTGGAATGTGTGAGCTGCATAGTTACTAAATAGTATATGGGGGGGGGGGGGGGGTTGATACATAAATTGTGTTTCATAGGCAAAGCATTACAAATAAATACACACATTTCTCCTATTTCCACCCTGAGGTATGTCGTCTCCCCCTGGGCACAGGCTTTCCTGATCCACATGCGTTACTTTATGCATTTCCTTCCCTTGGAGAAGACAACCACCCAGTACATGTTCTTCTCCCTGCGCTGCCCACCACCAGGAGTGGCTGGTGGTAGGAAGCGCGTTGGAGCACCTCTCAAGTTATGCCTAATTGCACAATCTCAAAGCCAGCAATGAATTGAACAGTCAGCCTGCTTGCTGTAAATACAGATATTTCTTACGCTTTTGAATTGAATTCTTATCCTACGAGTATTGAATAAAAGGCAGCTGTATTTATGTGTTGTGATAAAAGCGAAAACGTAGCAAAAGCAGAGAATAAGGATAGTCCACGTGGCCTCCTAATAGAGTTTTGCAGCCATTACTGTTGTTATCCTGTTCCCCTCAGAAGTGTGTGCATTTTAAAAGAAGAGCCACACAGTTTAGCCTTTGCCTACTAAATCTTTCAAGAAATATGCTCCTTTCATGATACCAGTTTCATAAATTATTGCACTGGGTAGAAGCTGCTCAACAGTCTCATCTGACCGGCTTTCAGTACCTCACTCTGTCCAAAAGCGAGCCAGTAATTAACTAAGTAAAGTCTCGGTCTTACATTAATTTTCACCTTACTTTACACAAGCTAAATGGTAATGTCATGTCTTTTATATATCTCCAGTGTATAAGATCCTCAGAGGGAGAGTTATTTTTTTCAAATTTAAAAATAAGGTTTATTATGCAAGGACTGTGTGCTTGTGGACAACCGTGTAGCTTGTGTCTCAGTTTCCTCATCTGTAAAATGGATGTAATGTTCCTACAACTCACAAGGGATGGCAAGTTTTGATTAGGATATCTGATTGCCTTACACAAATGCAACCGCTATCACTGCTTGGTTTTATTAAAAAATGACAGTAGAATATGAAGGAGAAATACTCTAGAAGAATAATGCTGTGACCAGGGTGAGCCCTCTCCATCTTTGGACCATCACATCGTTTATTTTCAGACTCTGCCGCAAAGTATGCATGTTTGAAATAAAACTATGCTATTGCTAGTGTAATGCCATAGAAATCAAAGGAATGTTGTAGGGGTTAACATACAGGCAAACCGTTTGTTTTTGAAGGAAGAGTGCCCACAGATACAATTAAATACTTTGAGCAAATTTGGGGGTTTTTTAGAAAATTTTCATGAGGAAAAATCTATTCCAATTTCCAGAATCCAATATACTGAAAACATACAAAACTGTTTCCACGTCAGCCTAAAAGTGTCTAGGAAGTGTTTTATTTGTGTGAGTAAATGTTGATCAGCCAGGAAGAAGACTGCGTTTTGAAATATGCTATGGAAAATAAATTCTACTGCAATTATTCTTTTTTTTTCCTCCCCCTCCCTGTTTTTTCCTCTCTCGCTTTCTTCCCTCTCTCTCTCCCCGTCTCTCTCCCTCCTGAAAATCTCCTGCCACAGCGACTGCATTTGCCTCCAGACTTGTCAGACACAGTGAGCCGCGCAAGCAAACAGGATCTGGCAGAATCCGCCAAACTGCTGAGCTCAGGATGTGGTGCTATGGCCATCGGCAAGAAGCACCTGGACTTCTAGTGATTTCTACTTAGCAGTTTCACTCAGATTTATATGACACTCTAATTATGAGTGTTAATGACTTATATAAATATTTTTCTTAATGATTTGACCCAGCAGTCTTTAAAAATACATGTTATCATCTGGTGCCTTCTTTTTTTTGTTGTTTTTGTTCTGGTTTCTTTGTACTAATTTTGGGCTTGATTGAATTTTGCTTTTTGTTAAAGCTTCTGTTGTGTTGGGTCTTGCCATTGTTCAGCTCGATTGGAAACATACAGTGTTTTGTTCCTTTCCTTAAAATATGAAAATTACTCTTACTTTTTCATTTCTAGTTGTTTTTTTATAAAAATAAAGGGGTATTTTTCCCAATGGAATTTTTATATACTTACATTTCGTATTTTGTATGAATAGTAAGTTAAGTTGGACTGTTTATCGAAATAAAGGAATGAAACTAAGCAATTTGTTGTCACATGTTATTCCAAAAGCAAACTACACGGTTATGGTTTTAAAAGCATTGATTTTTGTAATTGAAATACCATTCTTAAATTTCAGGAAATATTTTCATTGGTTTATTAAATATGTAGTAATAAATTTAAAATAAATAAGATAGTTTTTGTTCTAATATGCCAGTAATTAAGAATGGTTGTTTTTTGAATCAGACTATATTATAGGTAATTACTTTGCCTTATGGCTTCCTACATGCATTAAAATGCACTTGAATGGCATTTACTAACCATAGAGAAAAGAATTGATTTCCTTATGTCGCTCAAAACAGTAATCCTAAACAATTGAAGTCAGCACTATGAAATTATGTCAACAGACATAATTCAAGATTGAAATTCAAACCGACAGCTACATTAATGCTAGAAAACCAGAAGAGTGCGTTTCAGCTTGGGGAAGGGTATCACAGCATGCTGGTCTAAAGCAGGGCAGAATATACAAGTAAATCATGCTTCTGTGCCCTCAGACACACTATTTGTGAACTTGTGACTATTCTGTATGTATCTCTGTGTATATCTCATCAAACAAAAGAACGGTGAAGCAAAGCTGACCTGTGAATTAAAGCAGTTTGCATTCTTTCTTCTGAGGCTGACTTCCATTTTGAGAGGCAATATCTTCATCTCTGCAGAACTTCCAAGCCACCCAGCTGTAAGATTGCATTACAGTTTCAAAATCCAGTCTTTATAATAGTATATTACATGGCTGGAGTGAAATTGACTCTTCAAAGAACATGTTAATAGGATGCAATAATGGTAACTTATTTTGATGGGTTTGGAACCAAGAGTTGGTTAAGTGGTTTGCTTTTTTTTCCTGCAATTCAGGTTCTACTGTATTTTTTTCTTGACAACGCTGTGTAAAACAAAGACATAGCTTTTAAAACTGTCTAACTAATATGATGAATGTCAATCACTTAAAAAACTCCACTGTAGCATAAACACATACTGTATACAGCTTTTATTCTGAATTAGAATAATTGAATCAATGACAGTGATTTGCCAGGATGTCAAATCTATCCATCATATCCTGTCACTACCAGTTTATTTTTTGTGATCAAAATCAAAAAGACTACTATTTTGTCATCAGCTATTTCATTAGTAGTAACAATCAGGTTTTCTCTTCTATATTTTTTAGATATGCCTGTTATATTTTTTATTTCTAAAGACACAAATCCTTTTTAAATCTTTTCAAAATAAAGTTTCAGAACTGAACTGTCAGTTTAATAAAGCAAAAAGACATCTACTTTCCTATGCCAATATATTTAAAATATTATCATTGATGTCTCAAACATTTTTCTCTTTTTGTATTATGTGTAACATTGAATGGAAGTTCTCATTAGATACTTAATTGTGCCTTTTGAAAGCATGAAATAATTTAAACACTTAGGATAAAGTGATTCTTAAAAAAGATGAAGTTTTACATAGTACGTCTTTTTAATGTAAATAACACAGAACACAGTATTTCTTTGTGAAATACAAAGTCACAAGACATACAAATTGCTGCCAACATACTTAAATAGGTCATTGACTTAACATACAGGGGAGAAAATATCATGAAAGTCATAGTCAATTTCTAGTTAACATATTAACTGAAAATTGTTAGCGAGTAGCGCGTGTATTGCACGTGTGTATATGTGTGTCCTGTGCATTTATAAGACTTCAATTTCCAAAACTTCTGTAGGTTAATATTAAAGCTGACAAATATTTTGAATAATAAAAGGAACTCCTCCTGTAAATCTGGATTATTTTTTTTTCTGAGTCACTAAACATGCTTTGTAAAATAAGTGTCAGAGTATACAGATGCACAGTGCTGTTTACCTAAGGCAAAAACATGGAGCAGAATTTCTCTTCTTTTCTTCCAAAAGATTGTATCGGTTACAACAACATATGACAGTGACTTGGTTTATCCAGTGAACTGGTAAGTGAAATCATGCTATGTACGTGCTACCTGATAGTATGTAGATATATAGTAGGTACCGTGTAGATTTCATTTATTGCACAAAAATCAATTTTGACTTGGGAAGCCAGAGAAGTGTTTACAGGGTGATTTTCTGTGGCTTTTCCCCATAACCGCTCTGTGACTGTTGAGCACCTGTGTACAAAACATCCTTTGGTTCGTTCTTCTCTTGATTTGAAGACAAATATTTAACCGAGGGGTGCAGCTCAGGTAATCGAAGAATGGGTGCAGCCTCTTTTGACAGGCTGGTGCAATGTGCTACCGGCTTCTTTTTGCGTCTTCAGAGCTCCTTTGTTGGTTTGGATGGAAAATCTGTGCGATCCTTACTTGTGCTCAGAGGGGTCTTTTCCCCAGAGACTGCGGTGTGAGGTTTTTTCGTTTGTTGCGATTTTTTTAAGCGGAACTTCCTACTTTTTAGCAGGCTACAAACTGAAACCACCAAACTCAGCAGGGAAACAATAGATTCATCCCAGTGAAGACGTTCCCAATTCAGCACAAGAACCTGATCTTTACAGAATTGTGACACACAGTCAAGAAAGCGGTAATGAAATTTAAAACATTGTGTCTTTAATATGTCAAATAAGAATTCTTTATATAATTTCTGTTGTGTTGAGGTTTTCAAAATATAAGTATTTGGAACATGAGAAGAATATTATGATAGATTCAGTCTTTTTCTGTGTTTGTAAAGAAATTTCAAAAGCAATTTCAAGGATGCAGCTGAATTCAAGTTTCTGTAACAGTAGCTACAAGCATCTGAAAATGGGCATTCAGCTACTTCAGATTTGATACATATGGTATTACGCCACTGGTTTCATCTTTAAATTTAATATAAAATATTGATGTTGTTCCAAACACAGCTTTTGGAAAAATGCAAAAGTCTAACTTAAAAAAATCCTTTACTATGCCAATATTGGAAAGAGAGCTATTAATCGAATTTTTCAGAAACCACAAAGTTGTGACACATCCCTTTAAAAATGTATGTATATTACAAGTGTTACACACACATGCACATATTAAACCAGTATTTCTTCAGGATCATATATTAGAAATTTAATAAAGTGTTCTTCTTCTTTTGCCTGTGAAAATGCTGTCCATATCTACAGGGTACAACAGAAATATGAAAGAAGATGCTTTTATGCCTTTAAGAGGTGGTGGAAGCAAGTACTATCCCCCATGACATCTCTTGCGGTTTTTCTTTTCTCTTGTGAGCTACCTGAGTGCAAGGCCTACATTTCTTTTTTTAATCACACTGAGCACATGATGGTGCTTACTCAATAATAAATGTAGCTGTGTAGAAAAAGAAGGAAAAAAAAAGGCAACTCAAATGGAGAAAAAAAAGAAAAAACAAAAACAAACAGAAAGCAAAAATTCCACCACAATCTTTTTTTAGTTTCTAATCTAATATAAGCAAATGTTAGGCTCATTATTTTTCAAAAAAATCATTAATATAGTGGATGCTTACATCTGTATTTCAGCACCTGAATGGATAGACAGATTTTTCAGGAGCGCTGAGCATCAAGAATCCCGGAGCATCTGCTGAAAACTTGGCTGCTTATTTAAACTCTGCCTTTAAATAAATTTGAAAGTTATTAGGCGCTTCGAACTCATTCGCAGACCTTCTGTTCATATCAAAACAAAGACATCTTTTGCGCTTTCTATATTTATATATTTTTTTGCACATGAATTTTCTGGTGCTGTAGAACTTAATCTAAAAAATCTTCCAGAGAAGTCAGTGATGGTTTAGACCAGGAGTAAACTGGTAGGATTAGGTCCAGTAGATCTTTTTTTAAATTGTTAGCAGATCTAGAGAATTTTTAGCTGCATATTCCTCTATTGAAAATGTATTTTACTGTCTTCTGCCATTGAAGGTAAATGTTAAATCCAAAATGTGGCAAGAATCAAAGAAAAAAGTCTCCACTCTATGCTGGCAGAGATTGAGTTTGAGCGTTCATGCCCTCAGAGTGCTCTCAGCACTTACAGCGTCAGAGGCATTCTCTTAAAAAGTCTTGAAAAAAGGCAAATTTGAGTGCACTTTCAGCTACTTTTTTTTGGAGTCAGGTTGGAGAAAACACACTAAAGATAGCTCTGGCTCAAATTTCATGGGGCTAGACACACAGAACAGAAGTAATGTCTGGTTTAGATTCGGATGTGAAATCAAACAGTTTTCAGTGCCAGTATTTTGGGAAAGCATGTTGTGCAAAGAAAAAACTGTAAACTTGTTTAAAGTGTGTTGCTTGGGTGACACTTTTCTGCAGTTCATAGTATTTATTTACATTATCAAAGTATCTCGGAGCTACTACTCATAGAGCAGGACTGTTTTGTGTTGGGCATCGTTCTTGGCCTGGGACTTGCACCACTGCAAAACAAATTTGCCTTCCTGACCTATTTTAAATCAATAGGGAAGGCATTGTTTTAGCAGGACTTGATGCCATTTCTAGCCCCATCATCTTCAACAAGCAACCATAGCTGAAAACTGCAGCTCTGGCACTCGATTCCTGACCAGGGAAGTTTTAATGGGTCCATTTCCTCTCGGGGCACATTCAGCATCTACATGGATCCAGCGGATG